GGGAAAGAGCACCTTCTGAATGAGTTATAAGAATGAGAGGACCGGAAAATATTGTCCATTGGTTCCCCTTGACCTAGTCAATAACTACCAACATTAAAATTAACTGGTGAAGATGAAATATTTCAGTCTGAATAGTTAGTAATTAGGCAGCCACACTACCCACTCGCATTCCCATTCTGTTTCTTATCGTGCCACTCAGTTATGCAAATGCAGTGCCAAGGCAGACCGATAAGGATGGAATTCATCTCAGCACGGACTCAAAGCAAAAAGGGATCCGTAGTAATTAATGCAAATGTAACGAAGCGCAATGCCATTCTTAGACTATGCACAAAAATACTGCGGATGAAGGAACAGCCACAAGATCTAACAAGCCTGTCTCTATTCGGTTCATTCTTATTAATTCATCCACAATTTGTTACAGTGTCTTTTAGACCTTCCTCTGATGTCACATGACTCTCTTATCTCCTTAGCCCATCTGGAGGATTTGCTTTGATCTCTCTTTTTAGCAACATACTTGCTAATTTTACTAGTGCTACTATTCTCGTTTTCATAGAATCCTAGAACTGGAAGGGACCTCAACAGGTCATCAGGTCCCAGTCTGCTCCATCCATTTGCTTTGAGATAGAAGGGTTACATCCAATAACTCAGTAGCAGATGAACAGTAGCTCCCCAACTACCTGCATCTTCACACTCAGCTAGGAAAGGATGCCCTTCTATAGCATCCCCGGTATTTTCCATCACCCCACATGAGGGAGGAAAGTAATATTAGCCCCACTTTACAGATGGGGAAATTGAGGGACAGAGGGTGCAGCCTTGCACTGTTGAAGTCAACAGTAAAACTCCAACCCCAGAGGATGGCAGGGTCAAGCCCAGGGAGATTGAAGGACAGTGGCAGGATTTGAACTTGGGTTTCTTCACCCAAGCCTTGTGCTTTAAGCCATTAGACAACACACACTCCCTTTCCCCCTTCTACTACAGCTCCTCTCAGCTGTTTAATTGCATTTCTCCCTAATGTCATAATCTCATTAAAGATCTCCCATCTAGACTTTCATTCACCCAAATGCCTCAAATGTGAATGGGTCAGAGTGTGACTTTCACTAGGACCAGGGACATTCTTGAGTTTTTTCCTTTCCGTATAACGCCTCCCTGCAAAAGCAACGACACCTAACTGCCTGTCTAGGCTCTCAGCTGTTTAATTGCATTTCTCCCTAATGTCATAATCTCATTAAAGATCTCCCATCTAGACTTTCATTCACCCAAATGCCTCAAATGTGAATGGGTCAGAGTGTGACTTTCACTAGGACCAGGGACATTCTTGAGTTTTTTCCTTTCCGTATAACGCCTCCCTGCAAAAGCAACGACACCTAACTGCCTGTCTAGGGACAAGACCAGCTAAGGAGCCCTGTGGTTCAGCACCTGCCCTGCCCACTCTGCCATTCAGGATTTGACCAAACCGGCACAAAGGGCCCAGATTCTCCTCTCCCTTGCACAAAGACAATCATAGGTCTCAGGTGTCACTCCCTTAGCTACCCGTGATCTCTCCCAGCAGGAGAGTCAGGAGTCCGGCCCATGAACAAATGGGATTCATTTGACAAAAGAAGCCTTAAAACACAGTCCAGAGCAGCTATCAGCCAAACTAGAACTCACCTTGCACAGTATTCGGTTTCCACTTTGGACCTCACGAGCAGCACGTGGGGGATTTCACCGCAAAAGGGGGAATGGAATTCAGAACCTTCCCCTAGCACGCGCGCCAAGAGAGAATCTCCCCGAAGTGTTAGCACTACAGGGCCTGTGCACACAGTTTCTGAGGGAAACTGAGGCACAGCATGATTGTATGAATTGCCCAAAGGGTAGAGCTAGTCAGTCGCACACTGGTAATAGATCTCAGGAATCCTAACCCCCAGTCCCCTGCATTTTTGCTGTCTGTTGGTCTATTTAGCACTGCGCACATTTCTCACTTGTCAAATGACAAACCAGATAGCACACCTGGTAACTCAACTCCTGTATTTCTGACACTACCCGGAACCATCTTGACCTCTTCACTGTACGCCTGGTGTCCACATAATCATTCACTAGAAACTTCTCTGAACAAAGACGCTAGGGATTAGAGGCATTCCCTGCCGGTGCATATTCCTGTTTCTGAATGAAATACCCCGTGCTGCCAAGAGAGAGAGAGATTTTAGGAGAATTCTTCTTTTATTCCCCCACAACGTTTGCTATTCACAAAAATGTTGGTTTGATAAAGCTCTGTTTGAGTAACATAACCCATCTTAACTGGCCTATCTTAATACTAGCTACACTGGTAGTGCACCTCCCTACATGCTTCAGTTCTTTGAATAATTGGACAACTCTATTTTCCTATGCGTATGACAAAAAGCGTAGTTATCTCACTGCACAGGCAACTGGAAAACACCTCTGTGTGAAAGACGCTTTCTGGGCTGCAGGAGGTTCCAAAGCAAGTTGCAGGTGGGCTTGTGTTGGCAGGTGGCTATACAGAATTTAAATCAACTGGGGGGAAAAAAACCCAAAACAAGTGGCTCCCTTTTCATTTTGCCTGCTAGCTAATTCCCAACTTATCCCGTGGGAGGGAGGTGATAGCTGCCTTTTTACTCGGGTAGGGAAGGAATCGGACCTGAAAATAGCAAGGACCAGAGGGAGGGTTTATATGAGGGAGGTGGAGCCAATGGGGAAATTTTTGTCAGTGGAATTCTAATCCTCAGATGCAGAGCACTGGGGACCAGGATGCTGTGGGGCCTCGATGACACCAAGGCCTGCTGATGGCTGACTACACTGAGTCAGCAACTTGTGAAGCCTGACACACTCGTTACAGCTCCCACACTGGTGTCGGGACACTTATCTAAAAGGTGGCATGTTTGGAATCTACCACCATATCAGTCAGCAATATCACAGCAAACTGTTTGTTAAAGACTTGGTAGGTGAAATTATGGATATCACTGGATATTGCATCCTGGAGACTGTCAATAGAAAAGTGGCAAAACAGGTTCTTCTACATGAAGGGGAAAGCAAATATGGTGGCAGATGTCCTGTCCAGGAAAGAGGGCTCTGACCTGCTGCCTCTGGATCAGCCAGGGGCCAACCCTCCTTCACCTTTGTAAAGGGGACCCTGAGCATCCCCATATTCCCACCCTATACTCTAGTGCAGTAATGTTAGTTCAAAATATGCCTTCTGTGCGAGCAGGTAAAAACTAGTAACTCACTGAGCATTAAACTTGTTGCATGATGTATGTGTGCAGTATGGATTCAGAGTTATGGAGCTGTGCTGGAATTATGACTAACACATGTTTAAACCAGGCACGTCAGCTACAGTCGGTAAACAGGGCTGCCTTAGACAAAGGAATGTGTATTTGGTTCTCTGACCAGTCCAGACTTCAGTCAAAGACAATAAGGTTTATAGGTTTGTTGGGGTCACCTTGCTGATTGTAACCAAGGCTGGTGGAAGCCAGTACTTCAAGACAGGACCTGCAGGCTTGTAGACTGGTTATGAACATCCCCAACTGGGAGCTACAGCTGCAAAGCATTTTACAAACACCCAGCGTGGTAGGCAAGTGGTGACAACTAGCTTGCATGTCAAACTTCATAACAGCATCTTTTGCACTGTGTCTGTTCAGGAAAAAATAAGGCCATCTAATTTTCTTTCCAAGTGTGTTTTACCCACCAATCCTCTGAAGTTAAAGGCAATCTGAACAGGGGGAAAGATCAGGCCCAAACTAAAAGGCTGCCTAGCTTATTAGAAAATATAATTAAAACTACTGCTAGGGTGAGAAATTGCATGCATCAAGTTTCTTAGAGAATTAACTTAGCTGGTGTGTTTTGTTTTATTTAGCTTAGTGACTTACTTTGGTTTGTCTGTTATCACTTGCAATTGCTTAAATCCTACTTTTTATATTTAATAAAACCACTTTTGTTTACTGTACTATTAAACCCAGTGTAAAGAACTGTTGACTTGGGGTGGAGAACAACAGCTATACGTCTCTCTTTCATTGATAAAGGGAGTGAACAGTTTATGAGCTTGGTCTGTATAACATTTTTACCCAGAGTAAGATGGATTTATCTGCGGTTCTGGTCCCATGGGAGTGTGCACGTGGGGGCTGTGTCAAGTCCCTGTGACTGAGTCTTTCCAAAACTGAGCTGTTATCAGTGTCTGTGTTATTCGGCTGTGGACAGTGACCCCAACTCTGTGCCTTTGCTGTGGGAGACCAGAGGTCCTGGCTCAGCAGGACAGGGTGGTGTGGTGCCCCAGAGGGCAGGTGGGCAGGCTTAGTGGTATGATCAGATCATTGGACAACGGTCTCAAGGGGATTTCTGTGACCAAACCAGTCACACCATCCTGCAAAGAAGAAACCGATTTAAACACAGAAAGAAACTGATGCAGATGGTGTGATAAATAGGGGCTAATACTCCAGCTCACTTGCACCTGATTACATCCTTGATCTTAGCTTCAAACTCTGGCTAGAATTACACGACACACTGCAGTATGACTACAACATTCAGGGATGTGGAAAAATCCACATCCTTGAGTGATGTAGTTGTATTGACCCTAACCCCCAAAATAGACAGCAATAGATAAGCTGGGGGGAGAGGTAGATACACTGGAGGGTAGGGATTAGGTCCAGAGTGACCCAGACAAACTGAAGGATTGGGCCAAAAGAAATCTGATGAGGTTCAACAAGAATCCTGCTCTTAGGACAGAAGAATCCCAAGCAGTGCTACAGGCTGGGGACCGACAGGCTACCTGGCAGTTCTGCAGAAAATAATTTGGGGATTACAGCAGATGAGAAGCTGGATATGAGTCAACAGCACGCCCTTGTAGCCAAGGCTAACAGCATATTGGGCTGCATGAGTAGGAACACTGGCAACAGATCGAGGAAAGTGAGTAATCCTCTCTACTTGGTGAGACCACACTGGGATTGTTGCATACATTGGTCCCCACTACAAAAAGGATGTGGACAAGTTGGAGAGAGTCCAGCGGAAGAAAGGCACCAATAGATCTAGTCTGACCTGTATAATCACAAACCATTGAATCTCACACAGTTAACCCAATACGAAGTGCAATAACTTGTATTTGGCTAAAGCAGCGGCTCCCAAACTTTTCGGCATCACGCCCCCTTTTTGATTTCTGAGAAACCCTCACGTCCACCGCCCCCCATACAAGCAAAACTTGTTGAGTTAAAAAAAAAAAAAAAGGAACTGATCGGGCCCAAAAAACAAAATAGCAGCTTGGGGTGGGGAGAGTTAACAGGAAGGGGGCTGGGTCGCCTCGCACCCCCCTGGAATTTCTTTATGCCCCAGTTTGGGAACCCATGGGCTAAAGCATCTCATTGCGAACAACATCTAGCATTGATCTGAAGACCTCCAGAAATGGAGAATCCACCAACACTTAAACACATTATATGGATGTGTGCATAGCCCTCTGGAATACATACCGCTCTTGTCTATAGCAGGTGTATAGCATTGACTTGTCATTTATTAATCCTTTATGAACTATAAATGTACCCTTATTATCTCAGACAAATCCACGGGGATCGAACTTGCACCATCAGCTACACAGAATTGTACGGACAGCAGGGTCCATAGCATTGCAAGGTGAGAGGGTGGCCCTGCAGGCCCAGGAGGGGGCAAAGGCTAGTCTCCTTCCAGCAGCACTTCAGCACCATCCGGTGCTCTGGTAGAGATGTAAAGTGCTTGGGGTTGGAGCTGCTGCTACCAGCACGTTAACAGCAGCTGTAAGTCCCGGGCCCTTTTGAATCACCCGCACCCACCCATCCCGGTCAGCGGGCCTGCGTAGGGAAGGGTTTTGTTCAACAAACATCAAGTTCTGTGTTACGCTCTAGTCCAGGCCAGCCATGGAAAGCAGGGACCCAGCTCTGACGTACCATTCACAGAGATGTCATATGGCTGAGCCTCTTCGTAATATCCCTCTGGAGACTCAGTCGCGGGGATGGAAGGCTGTTTCCTTTCTGCAAGCTGCGGATGGAAGGAATAAAACAAGCATCCTTTTAGCACACAAAGCCTTGGATCGCCCTTCTTGGGAAAGCTAAACAGTGGCCTGAAGGGACGGGTCCTTTTATATAAGCGGCTCACAACCTCTTTGTAAGTGGGTTCAGATTAGAGATGTAAAGCACCCTGAAAACTGTGAACAGGGTAATTAACCAATTAACCATGAGGACAGAGCCAAGGTTGTGACCCTGCCACCAGCCCAGGCCAACTCAGAGTGGCTGGAGCTCTGCCTGCTGGCCCAGCACATCCAGGGCAGGAGTCCCACCTGGGCTACTCCAGTGCCACTGGGGCTGGGATCCTTCCAGAGCTCCTTGGGCCTGGATCCCACCAACATACCCTGGGTTGGGATCCTGCTGGCCCACCTGGGGCTTAGGTCTTGCTGGCCCACCTGGGGTGCCCCAGCAGCAATCAGGGTCCTGCCGGCCTGCCCCCATGAAGCTGGGATTCTTCCAGCCTAGCACAGGGGCTGCAGCCATGCAGACTGATGCGGTTGACGTCCAACTGGTTACCCGGGAAGCAGTCTACTAATTGGTTAAACCTTTTACATCCCTAGTTCAGTTCCAAAGAAAAACACATTGGTAGGTGCACATAGGTAACTGGCTTTCAACGTACTGCTCGCTGTGTTTGGTTTAAAGGAGTATCGAGCCACTGCACTTGGCAGTTCTCAGACAACATCACAATGTGGGGGTGCTTTAACAGTCTACTTAGCCTCAATTTCTTGGAGACAGGCCAGATCCTAGATAATCTGCAGTCAGCATCTTTGTTCCAACCATGGATCTGATCCTGCTCTACCAGCAAATGGGAGTTTTGCCATTTGTTTGGATGGACTCGTTCTTTGGTCCAGATGGCTGCACGTAAGCTACCCATTTCAAGTGGGGATGAAGTTTTACACTAAAGGGCTGCATCTAGACTGGCATGATTTTGCGCAAAATCTTGCCGCCTGTATTTGCGCAAGAACACTGACGTTGTAATGTACAAAATCAGTGCTTCTTGCGCGAATACTCTGGCGCTCCCGCTCAGGGGCAAGTATTCTTGCGCAAGAGGCCAGTGTAGACAGCAACGTTAATTTCTTGCACAAGAAAGTCCGATGGCTAAAATAGCCACTGGAGCTTTCTTGCGCAAGAGAGCGTCTACACTGGCACGGATGCTTTTGCACAAAAGCAAATCTTTTGCGCGAAGGCACATGCCAGTACAGACGCTCTCTTGTGCACATACTTTTAATGAAAAAGCTTTTCCGTTAAAAGTATTTGCGCAAAATCATGCCAGTCCAGACGCAGCCAAGGAGAATAGCTATGGAGTACCTGAATGGTGGACAATTGTGAGGAGGTAGAACTACTGTAACTCCGACAGACAGAACGGATCCTGGGACCTTTGTTGCTTAGAGATTGAGCCTCTATTGCTTGAGCTAGAAGCTAGCTGACTCTTCACTAAGGCCATAGAGCAGGGACAGGCAAGATGTGGCCTAGGGACCGGATGCAGCCCGCCTAACACTTCTATCTGGCCTGTAGACTGCATCTGGCTGCTTTCTATTTATATCCTGCTGCCTGTGCCACCAACTTTCCAGGGAGTGATTCAGGCAGCAGGATACTATTTAAATGGATCACGGCTCACAGTTGTGGTGCTACCCTGGCAGGTGCCCGAGCTGCAAGCCCTTTAAACAGCCGCAGCTGCAGACAATGCGGTAGCAGTGGGGTTGGGGGCCACGAGCCCTTTGCTGTGATTTTAATTCAAAGACTCCAGCCCTAGGCAACTCTGGGGGAGGCTAGTCCCCAGCCCCGCCCCTTCCAGGAGAAGTAGCTGGCCCATGACCACATACCAAAATTCATTGTGCCCCCCTGAAGGTTCATTGCTTGTAGGTCACCCTGCACAAAGTCCCAAGTTAGGAACACACACCAGGCCTCTTTAAATTCAATATGAGCAAAAATGAAGGAAGCAGATAAACAACACTAAAGTGAAACGAGCCTTTGAAAAGAGTCCAAGTGTTGGAAAAACCCCGTTGCATCTGCCAAATCCTTCCCTGAAACACAGGCTGGCAAAGAAAACAGTTCCTTGATCCCTCGGACAGACAGACGCACACGCAAGCAAGAAGGTGGGTAAAAATCAAACCCATTTAATTCTCAAGTCATTCATATGACTGCACTTGACGTCACTGAGCTGCAAACTTGAATGCAACAGCGGGAGGCGCTCAGATATAGCAGGGAAGATTGCAGCGTACAAACCTACACAGAACAGGACATTGGGTGGAGGTGCAGCCCACCCCAGGGGAAGCCATTCTGTAGCTTAGCCCTCAGTATGTCCAGCATCAAACATTTCCTCTCCCATGCCACACAATACAACACAGTCCATAGCTGCTGTCCTGCAGAAAGGTTAAGTTCCTGTAACAGTTGAAGGCAAGCTATTCTAGCTAGTGACCATAATTCGCTTAGTACCCGGGTTATGGTATGTTCCGGATTGTAAGTGTATGAATTAGATTCTAGTTGGTACCAGCATTAAACCTCAGCTCTGGTGAGGCTGGCCCCTGATGAAACTCCCTTGCAACGGTGCTGAACACGGGCTGAAACGTCACTTATGACTGGAGTACAGATGTAGTGGCTGGCAGGCATGTCCCCCATCCCTTACTACCCATTGAAAACCTTTACTCATTCACTCCTGGCTGCCTGCACAATGGTTTGGCATGGTTGTGTAACATCGACAGGCAGAACTGAATCCAGGACCTCTGGAGCTTAGTGCATGAGCCTCTACCCCCTGAGCTAAAAGGCAGCAGGAGCTTGGCAAAGGCTGTAGAGCACACTTCTGTAAGTTGTCTAAGTGCCGCTACCTGGGACCATGAATCTCAGCCAGTAGGTGTTGCCCTTGGCTCAGGAAGAGGAGAAGATAAAGGGCCAGCACCATCACAATATGGGGAAGGCCAAGGCGGCTGGAAGAGGGCATTGATTCACTGCTTCCCCTTATGGTCCCTGCCAGCAGAGTTCCTATGGAGCACAAGTGCCTGCTACAGCTGCATCCCCTTCCTTGACATCAACCTCAAGGAGAGAAGCAACTGCCCGCAGCTGGGATGAATAGCTGCTGGGGGCCCAGCGCTTGGGCACAAGGAGGCATGCTGTATACCTCTGTGCACCTAGCACAGTGTGTAAAGCTACACCAGGCCAGTGCGTTGTGCCCCACTGGGAAATATTTCTATGTATGTTTCAATTATGTACCTGTTTGCTTATACTTCGTCAGCTTTGCTGAATGCTTAATGTTTGGTATTGCAGAGCAAGAGCCAAGTCAAAGTCTCTGGCGATGCTAAATTAAGCAGCAGCCTCTAGCTGGCGCCTCTGTCCTTTCTAAGAGGTACGTAGCATGAAATGCTCTGGACAAATTGGCCGGCCTTTCTTGAGGCGTTGGCCAGAGTCAGAAGACAGGATACTGAGCAAGATGGACCAATGGTTCTTAAGTTATATTCTTATATCTGTAGCACCAATCAGCCAAGAGAGGAACTATCGTGTTCTAACAGAAACCCACTAATCTGGAGTGTCAGCTTACTCGGCTTTGAAGGAGAATATTAACACTGCAGTAGTCCTGGTCTAGCCAGTGTATGCCCATACAGTCTGGCTTTGGCTAGCTAACTGGGAGCAAACCCCTGGGTAACCATGGGCGAGTCTCTGACCTTTCTTGGTCTCTACCTCTGCAAAATAGGGGTAATTCTGACTTACATTTGCATAGTGCTTTAAGGAGAGGTGCTCTTCCAGAAAGAGCTGCTAGGCATTAATTTTTTTGAGGGCATATGGGGAATGTTTTACCAGCATTTTCCTACAACATTTAAATGCTTAAGAACTTAAACTAAAGCATTGAATTAGCAATATAAACACCCAATACAGGTTGAACCTTTCTAGTCTGGTACCCTCGAGACTTGACCAGTTCCAAACGAGAGAATTTTCTGAACTATGGGAGGTCAATATTGTCTAGCAGCAACACCATCACTTCCACTGCTTACTAAGCTCTTAGGGGCAAATTAGAGCTAACAGCGCAGAACACTGAGAGCCAGGACTGGTGGCTGTAAACAAACTTCATAGGACCGCAGAAAACTTGGCCACACCCATGAAAAATGGACATCCAACTAACTAAAATCATTGCCGACCACAGATGTTTCCAGACCAGAGAGTTCTGGGCTGGAAAGGTTCAACCTGTAGTTTTACTGAGAGGCACTTCCTCAGCCAGCAAACAACTTTATAATGGATTCTGTGGCAGACTGGCACATGCAGCCAGCTAACGTTGTACATCTGTGGCAGACTGGCACATGCAGCCAGCTAACATCAGTGTACGTGGCGGAGAATTTAGAGTGATAATCCAATTGGGAAGCCATTTTTGTTTACATAAACTCCCCCTCCCTCCTGTGACTTCTTCCTATACTGTCCAACAAAGTCTCAGGCTAGGGAAGGGGACAGTTACTTTGTTTCCTCCAGACAATGGAAGCCAAAAGGGACTAGGGTTCAGCTACTAGGGATTTTTTTATTATTATTTTTGCCTTTGCCAGAGGCGTGGGTTTCTTTAGCTTAGATCAAAAATACACTGCGCTGTGTTCTCCAACTCAGCCTGGCACTTCAGAACACGTGGACATTTCACAAGGGCAGACCAGAGCACGCAAACCCTAACAAATACCTGCCGGTATCATACAGGAATGGCCCAGAGAGCTGCAATTGCTACGCTGACAAGTGGGACTGGTAGGACAGGACACTCGGGTGTTGTCAAAGGGGCAACTGGAAGCATGCGGTGAAAAGTGCTAGTTAATGCTAAGGCAGGGAGGAGGGCTCCATTGCTCTAGGCATTGTGCAAACACCTAAGTCCGATTCCAGCCTCCCACTGATTCCAGCAGGCTTTGGGTCAGACCCACTCATGACAGGCTCTCGCACTGAAAAAAGGGAAGCCTAGCAAAGAAATATTGCAAGCGTCAGATAACGAACAGCTATTCTGACTGCACTGGATAA